TGGTTGTTCGCTGTCACTGCAAACCCGGCTTGACTTACCACTGCAGGGTATCCCACAGGCATTGACTGCTCCTGGGGTTTTGCCATCATTACACCAGTATCGGCTATTGATCTGAAATATCCCATAGTCTGTGCTTTGGCCTCCAGGGTTGTAGTTTGTAGCTTGTGTGTTGTAATTGCTCTCGTGCTGAGCTAAACACACCCCTTAGAAGAAAAAGAAAAGATTTCAGTAAGCATCAACAGCAATGGATCTATACTTGATACAGAAATCAGCCTTTGAGCTGACACTACTTTAGAAGTGATGGACTAGACTTACAATCATGTGGTTAAATTATATAATATGCTACCACTAGTTCAGCCTGGGCATGGCAGTGTTGCCCAGGGTAGTCTCTGGTCTCTTGTGATCCTTCTGCCTCTGCCCTTCTAGTAGGTAGAACTGCTGTCCCAAGTCAGCAAGTAATTTTCAAGTGTCCCAAAGAGAACCCCTTTGAAGGCAAATCAATTTATACCAAGAATAACCAGGTAATAGGACTTTTATAACATAAACCTGTCACAGTGGTGCTCAATTTTATTCCCAGCAGTCGATAGGCAGAGGCTGGTGAATCTGTGTCTGTTGAGAACAGCCTGGTCTGAATGGCAAGTTCTGTTCCAGCCAGTGCTATATAGTGAAACCATGTCCCCTTCCAAATAAAATAACTATTTCTTCCATTACTTCTACCACCCACATATGCTATCTCATCCTTTAAGATACCTCTGCATAAAATAAACATGCAAATAGTAGTTAGGCACATTTAATAAATTGATATGAAACACATATGCTGCTAGATATGTTAATATTAGAAAATAAGGATTTTCTCAGCGAGATTATTCATATAATCAATTTGAATTTGCAGGTAAAGTAAGAATTTTTTCTTCTACTCTGTGTCACCAAGTGTCCATCTTTGGCACTGAGCTTGCAATCCCCTGCCTCAACGTCTCATTGCTTGCATTCCAGGAGTGTGCACCATCACAGATGTCTAATGAGAATACTGAGAGCAAGAACATCAGAACAGAAAAGGCTGTTCTCCAATTTCATCCATCCATCCACCCACACAGACATCTCTCTGTTGAGCAGTAGCCACTTGACTCAATTGTGATTGTGACAACATAGATGATGTAAGCCATAAGGAACTGTGCCTCATCCACATCTTCTGTTGTGGGCAACTAAGGGCTACCCCAAGGTGTCTTTATACTCAGTTTCTGAGGACCTCATTTAAACAGCAACAGGGGGCAAAGAGGATCCCTCTGCCCTGTGTAGAAAGGTCAAAAAATTTTTTTAAATTATCTCAAAAGTTGCACAGCATGATAAGAGAACTGAGGACAAATACTATGTCACTCCAGGATCTCAGGTCCCAAGTTCTGAATGATTGAGTTTCCCACCTGTTCTCAGTCTCCTTTCTCATGGGCTGTTGAGTCTGAAGGAACTGGAAAACCCAGTGACAGTTCAAGAGCACCTCAGGGCCTATCGCCTTAGCGTGGCACACAATGTCCCTTCCAAACGCTCACCCCAGCATCTCTGATTCAAAAGACACAAGTTGATGCTTTAGTCAAATGAACTGTCACACAGGGAGCAAACATGACATCGTGTGATGCAGCTCCCTCTCTGGTTGCTCAGTGCTCCCTTGTCCCTGTTCTGAAAGCTTAGCTGGAGGCATCAGGAAGAAGAGACTTACAGTCAGCCAGGCTGACTCCTCGGTAACCATCCATTCCATTGCTTTTCAGAATTTTGGCCAACTCGCAGCGCCCATAAATCTTGGCCTCCACAGAGACAGAAAGCATGAGGAGCCCCAGAGTCAGGAGAGCCTTCATGGTGACAGGTAGCTGGATCAGCTGCTGGCTGAGAGAAAGCATGCCTGCTATTTAAGCATCCTCCAAGTTCCTCCTTTCCCAACAGGTGGTGACCTTCTACTTTTGATCTGTGTGCAGAGCCAGAAGTTCCTCCACATCTATGGACTTTATCACTTGCCTTTCTTTCCCATATATTTTATGAGAGGTGTTCAGGTGGCCCAGGAGGAAGCACACAGTATTTATTTTAAATTGCTCATTAAAAATAAATGAGTACTTCTGTTTCTTTTTTCTGGTTTTTTGAGACAGGGTTTCTCTGTGTAGCCCTGGTTGTCCTGGATCTCACTCTGTAGACCAGGCTGGCCTTGAACTCAGAAATCCACCTGCCTCTGCCTCCCAAGTGCTGGGATTAAAGGTGTGTGACACCACTTCCAGGCTAGTACTTCTGTTTCTAAATGAGGGTTTTCATTCCATTTTATTATGAAGTTAAGCAACTAAAAGATCAAAGAAACAACTCATATTTACAGTTAAAATCAGCAACTACTTTCACCAACATGCCTTCATATTAAAGTATTCTATGTCCAGCCAACATTTTGCACTGATTTTTAAAAATCATTTTGTGAGTATGTCTCTCCCAAATGGACCTGCCATATGGACCTCTTTTTGACAAGGATGTGTCACATGACATGATGTGGTTGTCCAGAATTGAACTCAGGATCTGTGGAAGAGCAGCCATTGCTCTTAAAGTCTGAGCTATCTCTCCAGCCCCCAAGAAGTGTTTTACTCTTACACATTGGGAACATATGTCTTCAGGAAAAACTTTTTGTATTAGTACTGCTGAGTAAAAATATCAACCGCCATGTTTTAGTTTCCAGCACTGAGTACAAAAAGAAGATTCCACCACGTTCAGTAGTAATTCTAGTGCCTCCAACTACTCTAGTAAATGAGAAAGACTGCTTTGGAGGCTAGAGAAATGGCTCAGAATTTGGGAGCATGTGCTGATTCTCCAGAGGACCTGAGTTTGATTCCCAGCTGGAAGCTGCCTGTGTCTCCAGCCCCAGGGTCATCCAGTGCTTCTGGCCTCGGTAGGCACTAACTCTCATGCACACAGCCATACATGCACACAGTTCAAATGATCACAATAAGTTCTAAAAGAAGGGCTTTTTATACTGTCAAATCAGACAGAATGAACACAGGTTTCTCACCAACAATAACAAATACTTGCATTCTTGGGAAACACTTTCTTGGTAATTTTCTCTTGGCCCACCACCATGAGGCTGGCTAACTCTGAACAAGATGCAGATTCTATGGGAATCCTTTCTGTTCCTCACTCCTTCTGCCCTTCACCTTTGCTGGGAGTGACAGCATTCAACCCACATTCTGTACATACTCTGTGAGGGTTCCACAGATGTCTTAAGTTTTACAATGAACAACTTGTTACCCTGCTGTAGTTCATAATTCTTGAACAAGCTATTTCTGGCAGCTGACAGAGAGCCTTAGTTTCTCCTGTGCTGCAAAGGTGAGGTTTCTGGAATGCTCTCCCAAGTGCTGCAGCTGGCAAGGGGCAGGGCCATGTCAAACAAACTCGCTGCACAGATGTTGAGGGATGGCGCTGGCTCACCCACACCCATGACACCAGAGCCAGCTCTACTGTGCTGCCCAGGTGAAGTATGGAGCCACTCTCCTGAGTGTTATAGCTGAGGGGCGGGGCCAGAGCTCTGGTACTCACATACTTGAGGTCAGTTCTTCTGCAGAGGCCACAAGCAGGGTTAGTTCATCTGTTCTGCTTGGGTGAGGTGTAGAGCCCACTCTTCAAAGTACTACAGTCAAAGAGGGGCACAGCCAGCTCTGGGCATCCCTTAGACATAAACATGGTCCCAGGTGGCATCCCAGAACTGGAATACCCATCCATATGTAACATGGTAACATGGTAACAGTGACATAGAACCCCCGGCACCCCCACCACACACACACACACACACACACACACACACACACACACACTCATACACTTCTTAGGACCTCATACTCAGATATGGCCTTCAGGGCAGCAACGGCCAGGACCACAACATAGCCTCACGGGCAGTGCAGGCTACTCACATCATTTCTAATCACGCTCACATCTCCAGCTCTGCCTCTCCTTTTGTGCACACACTTTTCTGCTTCTCTTGCTTTCCCATCTCTGCATCCTTACCTAATCCTCTCAGTAGGCAGGCGAGGTCTGGTGTGGTCCAACTGGGTGTGGCAGAGAATGGTGCTTTCCCTTCCCTCTTTTATCTAAGGAAACTGTGGGCTCTCCGTGCTCCACAGCCTCCTCCACCGCTCCCTTTTCCTCTTCAGAGTCTCATGGTGAGTACTGGCTTTGATCACAGCTCTGCTTCAGGTTCTCACACTGGATGGCGATGATGTGCTCCTGAATCTGGGTCTGCATCAGCAGCTCGTCCACACATTCCAGCAGCTTTATGGATGGAGTAGATGTTGGGATGGACAACTTGCACTGGATCTGGGCCCTGATGGCAGCTCAGTTGGTCAGTCCACCAGATAGGACATTTTCTTTTTTCTTTTCTTTTTTTTTTTCTATTTTTTTGGTTTGGTTTGGTTTTTCGAGACAGGGTTTCTGTGTGTAGCCCTGGCTGTCCTGGAACTCACTTTGTAGACCAGGCTAGCCTTGAACTCTCGAAGTCAGAAATCTGCCTGCCTCTGCCTCCCAAGTGCTGGGATTAAAGGCAGAAGCCACCACTGCCCGGCTAGGACATTTTCTTTATTACTGCTTGGTATGATCTGGAATGCCCAGTCCTTTCTGCTCAATGTCACCTCTGGGCTGTGGTCCTGGGTGCTCTAGAAAGCAGACTGAGCAAGACTTCAGGAGCCAATGAGCAGGCAGCACCCCTCCACAACCTCTGTATCAGAACCTGCCTCCAGGTTCCTATCTTGTTTGAGTTCCTGCCCTGAATGCCCTTGATGTTAAGGCATTCGTGAAGAGGTATAAGCAAAATAAATCCTGTTCTTCTCAAGTTGATTTTACATTACAGTAATAGAGACCCTATCTGAGGC